GCTGTGGCTCAAGGTAGAGTGCTGAAGAGCTGAGGGACAGCGCCCAGGCCCAGAGTTCAGGCCCCACGACCAGACTCAAAAAAAAAAGAATGGGGCTGGGAAGGTGTTTCAGTGGTAGAGTGCCTGCCTCACATGCATGAAGCCTTGAGTTCGATTCCTCAGCACCACATAAACAGAAAAAGCCAGAAGTGGCACTGTGGCTTAAGTGCTAGAGTGCTAGCCTTCAGCTGAAGAGCTGAGGCACAGTGCTCAGGCCCAGATTTCAAGTCCCATGAGTGACCTCCCCCCCACCCCCCAAAAAAAAATGTAGACAAGAACTTTTCTCCCTTCTCTGATCCTGTCCTTTTCCCCTTTGATGTTCTACTGTGGACTGGCTCTGGGTTGTAGTATTCGGTGAGTTTTTATGTATAAGGGCCTTATATCTAAAAGTTACAACTTAGGTTCTACTATGTATATATTTCAGTTTTTAAAATTTTAGTTAATTTTTTTTAAATTTAGGTTTATGTCTGGGAAGGAAATAAAGAAGAAGAAGCATTTGTTTGGGTTGAGAATTCGTGTTCCTCCTGTGCCACCAAATGTGGCTTTCAAAGCAGAGAAAGAACCTGAAGGAACATCCCATGAATTTAAAATTAAAGGCAGAAAGGCATCCAAACCTATATCTGATTCAAGGTAAAAGTTGATCTGTCATTTAGTTTTTCTCTTTAGCTTATTGTAACTAAAAATATATTTGAAAGTACAAGTGGCAGTTATTTTTTTTCCCTGTCAATAACTTCTTTCTTAGATTAAGGCACAAAGAGTTGTTGCTAGCTATTTGTTTATTTTAGGCCTTATGCTTTCAAGAAATTGAACCTGTTGATTTAAACAAACAGCTTAATTACTGGCCTGTTTGTCTGTTTCCTCATTTTTTTTATTCAATTGTTGAGCACAATTGCCAAATGCCTTATTAAAGGACTTGGGATATAATGATGATACAGATTTTTCCATTTGCCCTCATAGGGTTACATTGTAGCGGGGTACAAAGGTAATTAATTAATTCATAAAATAATTACTGTACATACTATTACCATTTAGAATTTGTATACCGTTTTAGAGTTGGGCAATCAGTAGATTCTGGGTACTTTGTACTTTAAACAGAAGTTTAATGTTAATGCTTAACAGATAAATTGGAACTTAAAGAATATTTATCTAAGGTTGGGAAGGTGAGTGCTTGCCTTGCATGCAGGAGGCCCTGGGTTCGATTCCTCAGCACTACATAAGCAGAAAAAGCCGAAGTGGTGATTTGGTTCAAGTGGTAGAGTGAAGAGCTGAGGCACAGTGCCCAGACCCAGGGTTGAGGCACCACAACTGACAAAAAAAAAAATCTAACAGTGGAAAAGATAAAGAAAAGTATTCCAGGTAGCAGAAATAACAAATATAAAGCTAGGAGCCAACTTCCAGCAAATCACAGAAAACTGGCATGAGTAAGGAGTATAGAGTACCTTAAGAAGAGTGGGTGGTTTTGGTCACATAGGGTCTTGTAGTTTCATAAGAATTTAATGGGAAAGCCGAGCGCCAGTGGTGCATGCCTGTAATCCTAGCTACTCAGGAGGCTGAAATCTGAGGCTTTTGGTTCAAAGCCAGCCGAGGCAGGAAAGTCTGTAAGACTTTTATCTCCAATAAACCACTGGAAAACGGGAAGTGGTGCTGTGGCTCAAGCGGTAGTGAGCTGAAGAGGGCAGGGACAGCGCCCAAGCCCAGAGTTCAAGCCCCCTGACCCCCCCCCCCAAAAAAAAAAGGATTTAATGGGGGAGTCACCTAAAATGTAATATAAGCAAATTTAATACCCCTCACTCCATGCCCCTGTTCTGTCCTTGGGCTTAATCTGAGAGCCTAGGTTAGGTCATGAGCTTTTTTGCTCAAGGCCTAGCCCTCCTCCAATTGAACCACAGTAGCTCCATTCTGACTTTTTGGTGATTAATCTGATGTAAGAGTCTTATGGACTTTGCTGTGTTGATGTTGGATTTAAACCATGATCCTTGTATGTCTGCCTCCTGAGTATCTAGGGTTATAGGCATATGCCACCAGGGCCTGAATTAAATGCTGCTTTGAAAATAGTATGGATATAGTAAGATAAAAAAAGAGAAAATAAAAAAAAATATATTTGTGTAGGCAAGAGAGAGCTGATGATTGCTTTCAGGAGTAGATAGAGAATAGATTAGAGATCTCCTTTGGAGGCAGAATTGATTGGATTTGCTAATGAATTAAATTTATGAAAGAAATCAAATTAACTGATATTAGTATTTCTTGACCAAGATGCCAACATAGTTTGCAAATATACATGCTACCTGTTTTTTTTGTTTTGTTTTGTTTTGGTCCTGGGGCTTGAACTTTGGGCCTGGGTGCTGTCCCTCAGGTCTTCAGCTCAAGACTAGCACTCTACCACTTGAGCCACAGCGCCACTTCCCCACCTGTTTTTTTTTTTAAGATATTGAAACATTTTTCTGCTTCTACTTGTTGAACTTGATGTTGTGTATGCTTATTTGAGTGATATAAAATACATAGGTGAGTAGATTTATAAGTAAGGAGTTTCTGTAAATAAACTAGGCAATGTAAATTTAGAAACTGATTGGTAAAGCCAAGAGAGTGAATGAAACTATCTGCAGAACAAGTTGAAAGAGAAGAAAACAAGCCTGGGGGGCTGGGAATGTGGCTTAGTGGTAGAGTGCTTGCCTAGCATGCATGAAGCCCTGGGTTGGATTCCTCAGTACTACATAAACAGAAAAAGCCGGAAGTGACGCTGTGGCTCAAGTGGTAGAGTGCTAGTCTTGAGCAAAAGAAGCTCAGGGACAGTGCCCAGGCCCTGAAATCAAGCATCAGAACTGGCACAAAACAAAACAATACAAACAAAACAATGTTCTATTATAATTTATAAATTTGGAAGTGCCAAGATTGGTGGTAAATGCATGTAATTTCCAGCTACTAGAAAAATTAGAGATTGGGTGATTGCCATTGGAGTCCAGCCCAGGGAAAGTTTTAAGACCTCTGTCCAACAAACAATCAGTTTATGCCTATAATCCCATCTAGGTAGGAGAACCATGAGTACAGGATCTTGATCTAAGACAAAACACAGGACCTCATTTGAGAAAAGACCTAAACTTAGCAAGGCCAAGACTCTGATTCAAACCCCAATACTGCTATTCCCCGTTTTTTTGGAAGTGGTAAAATAAAAAAATAAAAACTTGAACTCAGGCCTGGGCACTGTTTCTCAGCTTTCAGTTCAAGGTGAGCGCTTTACCACTTGAGCCACAGTGCCACTTCTGGTGTTTAACTTGAGATAGGAGTCTCAGATTTTCCAGGCTAGACTGGCTTTGAACTGTGATCCTCAGATCTCAGCCTCATGAGCAGATAGGATTACAGGCATGAGCCACCATTGCTTGGCTTTTTCTTTTCTTTTTTCTTGCCAGTCCTGAACCCAGGGTCTTGAATCACTTGGCTTTTTCACTCCAGGTTGGTACACTAACCCTTGAGTCACACTTCCCCCCATGAAACCAGAAAAGTTTGATGTCATGAAAGTCAAAAGAAAAGGGAGTATTTAGAGAAAAGTAGTATTATATTAAAATATATATATATATATATATATATATATATATATATATACACACACACACACACACACACACACACAATATGGGATGTTTTTGAAAGGTAGATAAAGATGAGAGAAAATTGTTAGACAAATAAATTTGGCCTGGACAAAAATAATTTGTTTGGAGTAGTAAAGATATAAGGTAGATTGGAATGGATTGAAATGCTGTTCAATGAGGCAGCTTCTCACTTTAATGTGAAAAGTAGGCTTCTCCTACACGGAGAGGACATGGGTATATTCAGAATAATAATAAGAGTGTATGAGTGAAGGGAGGAGAAAATGACTTTCAAGAATTCTGATTGAGAAGGAAGAAAGTAGGGAGGGTAAATTGTGAATGAAAGCTGCAGTGGGTAATGGGATTAGTGATTGTTATTTTTATAGATGGATGATGATTTGAATTTTTTGTTGTTGTTTTGTGGTGGTGGCCCTGTCTCTGAGCTCTTTTGCTCAAGGCTAGTTCTCTACCACTTTAAGCCACAACTCCACAGTGGTTAATTGGATATAATAGTCTGGCAGGGACTTTTCTGCCTGTGCTGGTTTCAAATCCCAATCCTCAGTTCTCAGCCTCCTGAATAGTTAGGGTTACAGGTGTGAGCTGCCAGTGCCCAGCAGTTTCTATATTAAGAGAATATTTTCTCAATGGAATATGAACTTAAAAAAAATAGCTTGAGTAGTACAGAAATTTTTTTTTTTTTGGGTCCGGTCGTGAGGTCTGAACTCTGGGTCTGGGCACTGTCCCTCAGCTCTTCAGCTCAAGGCTAGCGCTCTACCACTTGAGCCACAGCGCCACTTCCGGCTTTTTTTTTCTTTTTGCTTATGTGGTGCTGAGGAATCGAACCCAGGGCCTCAAGCATGCAAGGCAAGCACTCTACCACTGAGCCAACTTCCCAGTCCCCAGAAAAAATTTTAAGTAAATAAAAGGTATAGAATAGTTACTTGAAGCCGGGCGCTGGTGGCTCACACCTGTCATCCTAGCTACTTAGGAGGCTGAGATCTGAGGATCATGGTTCAAACCAGTCCCTGCAGGAGAGTCTATGAGACTCTTATCTCCAATAAACCACTAGAAAACCGGAAGTGGCGCTGTGGCTCAGGAGGTAGAGCACTTGCCTTGAGCTGAAGAGCATGGGGACAGCGCCCAAGCCCAGAGTTCAAGCCCCACGACCCCCCCCCCAAAAAAAAGAAGTTAATTGTAGAGTTAAGGGAATAGGATGACAAGATGTTGCTAATATATCATAATCATTTGAAATATGTAATAGAGTAGATAAATATTATTTTAAGGTTTCTTCCCTAAAGGAAGGAAATGTTTACTATTCCTGTTACCAATTCTGTTACTGTAATCCTGTACTAGTATTGTCTTTATTATAAATTAGAGGAGAAAAGAATTCTACAAAGAGCTGGATACTGATGGCTCATGTCTGTAATCCTAGCTATTTAGGATGCTGAGATCTGAATTTTGTGGTTCTAAGTTAGCTCCAGCCCAGGCAGGAAAGTCTGTGAAACTCTAATCTCCAATTAAACACAACCTCAGAACAGCTAGTAGTAGAGCTGTGGCCCAAGGGATAGAGTGCCAACCATGCCAGGGGGGACAGTGCCCAGGCCTTGAGTTCAAGCCTCAGGATCTGCACATATTAAAAAAAAAGCCAGAAACTTTTTGTTTCACTGCTTTGATTCTAATAGGATGCTCTATTCTTGGCAGCTCTTCTACCATCTAATACCACTAGATAAGAGTCCAGTTATCTAGTCTATTCTTAGTTTTTTCTGGGCTGTGTTTATAGATTGCTCCTTTTAGTTTGAGAAGTGTTTTTTAGTATAGTGGTCCTTTTTAAATGTTAGACTGAGATCTGAGGATTGCAGTTGAAAGCCTGACTTTGTAGGAGAGTCCATGAGACTGCATTAACACCAAAACAAAACAAACCCGAAGGACAGTGTCCAGGCCCCAAGTTTAAACAGGACCTCCCTCTCTCCCCAGCCAAATAAAGGCAGATCGCATCCCTCTTATCCTTGAGACTTGTGATTATATGCATCTGGTCCTTTTTCTTTCCTACTTTCTCCATCCTCATATTTGCACTTTAATTCTCTGACCTTAGTTTAGCATCTAGAGGGATAGGGGTTTCCCAGTTATCTCCATTCACCTCTTTCTAGCCTGTTATATAGTCCTTTCTCCCATTTTAGTAGCTTGTAAGTATACATATTTGTCAACTATACACATTCTATACATATTTATTTAACTATCTGATGCATCCTCCTTTCAGCATAGGATACCTTCATATTCCTGTTAACCTAATATCTCCTTTCTACAGTTGCTGTTTGTTGATGGAGTAAAGGGAATAGATGTGTGGTATATTGTAATAACTTCTTTTTTCTTCCCTTCAATTAGAAGTTAATGGACTTTTTCCCTTTGCTGTGCTATGTATTTGGCTGTGTGTTTAAAAAATGTTTTTCTAATTCTTTCTACGTTTGATTTATCAGTGACCCCCTCCCAGGATGAAGAATTCCTTACAACTTTCGCCTTCATTCTGCCACTCTGGTTTAATTTTCTTTCTTGCTCCCTTTCTCTTTCCCTTTCCCTTTCTCTTTCTTTTTCCTTTTCCCTTTCCCTTTCCTCCCCCACCCCACTTCCCCCTTCCCCCTTCCCATACTGGGGCTTGAACTCAGGGCCTTGGCCCTGAGCTTTCTTTGTTCTAGGTTAGTGCTCTACAACTTGAGCCACAGCACCACTTCCAGCTTTTTCTGCTTATGTGATACTGAGGAATGGAACCTAGCGCTTCATGCATGCTAGGCAAGCACTTTACCACTAAGCCACATTGCTAGTGCCTTAAGTTTTTTTTCTTATAGATAGAATCACTCTGGAATTTGTTAATACACATCTCTAAAGGCAGCTTCTATTAATAGATATTGTAATTTTAACATGTCTATGAGGTAAATTAGTAATTTTATAGTCAATTAATTTTTAAGTAATAAATCCTTGAAAAATCCTCCATGTAGTAACAACCTAACTAAACTATTAGAAAGATGAAAATATTCCATCCAGTATAGTTGTTCCTGCTTTTTAAATCTTTATTTCCATTGCATGTAAATTCCAGAATTACAGTAAGGAGAACCTTTTCCCTTAAACCTTTCTTTTTCTTGCCATTCCTGGTGTTGGAACTCAGGGCCTGGGCTTTTATTCATTCTTTTCTTTCTTTTTTTTTGGTTGGTTGTGAGGCTTGAACAATCTGGGCTTGGGCACTATCCCTCAGCTCTTCAGCTCAAGGGGAGCACTCTACCACTTGAGCCATAGCGCCACTTCTGGTTTTCTAGTGGCTTATTGGAGATGAGGCTCTTGGAGTTTCCTGCCCGGGCTGGCTTTGATCCACGATCCTCAGATTTCAGCCTCTTGAGTAGCTAGGATTACAAGGGTAAGCCACTAGCGCACAGTGGGCTTTTTTTTTTTTTTGGGTCCGGTCGTGGGGCCTGGGCACTGTCCCTCAGCTCTTCATCTCAAGGCTAGCACTCTACCACTTGAGCCACAGCGCCACTTCCGGCTTTTTTCTTTTTGCTTATGTGGTGCTGAGGAATCGAACCCAGGGCCTCGAGCATGCAAAGGCAAGCGCTCTACCACTGAGCCACCTTCCCAGCCCCTACAGTGGGCTTTTATTCTTTTTTTTTTTTTTTTTTTTTTTATCAGTCATGGGGCTTGAACTCTGGGCCTGGGCACTGAACTTCAGCTCTTCAGCTCAAGGCAAGCACTCTACCACTTAAGCTACAGCGCCACTTCCGGTTTTCTGGTGGTTTATTGGAGATAGGAATCTCACAGTCTCTCCTGCCTGGGCTGGCATTGAATCATGATCCTCAGATCTCAGCCTCCTGAGTAGCTAGGATGACAGGCGTGAGCCACCAGCGCCCGGTGGGCTTTTATTCTTAAGACTAGCACTCTACTACTTTGGTAGAATGGTAGTTAATTGCAGATAAGACTCTCATGGACTTTCCTGCCGGGGTTGGTTTCAAACTAAACCTCAGATTGCCTCCTGGGTAGATAGGATTACAAGCATGAGCCCATTTTTCCTTAAACTTTTCATAATACCCAAGTGAAAATGTTACTTGATTAAATTAGAATACATTATCTATTACACACTTGAATAAATGTATAAATCCAACTTATTTAATGTAATTTTCATGTTACCATTAATATAAAAATAAAATACATGTGTGTAATTATATTTAAAGTTACACTTTTTATGGAGAGATTAATGCATAATGTTTTTCCATTTTAGAGAAGTTAGCAATGGAATAGAAAAAAAAGGAAAGAAAAAATCTGTAGGTCGTCCTCCTGGTCCATATACAAGAAAAATGATTCAAAAGACTGCTGAGCCAACTTTGGTAAGAGGAATTTTTGGCATATCTTCTAAAAGTAAAGATGTATGAAGTTACTGAGAAGTTTGTGTTTCTTCCTATTATTGTAGATCCATGTCTTAAGCATATATTTTTATTTCTAGGATAAAGAATCCATTTCTGAGAACCCTACGTTGGATTTACCTTGTTCTATAGGGTAAATAGAAAGCTATTATTTTCTTTCTTAGGAATTTTCTTTTTGAGGGAATTAGTTTTTCTATTGTTATGTAATATAGTTGTTATACCATTTAAATTCTTTTGTCTCAGGAGGACTGAGGGAACTGCACACTCGTCCAATACCTCAGATGTGGATTTCACGGGTGCTTCCAGTGCAAAAGAAACTACCTCGTCTAGCATTTCCAGGCATTATGGGTAGGTATTTCATTTTTCTTTTCTTCCTTAATTTTCTTTTAGGTTCTTGTAATGACTGAATAATTTTTAGCAGTTAAAATGGATAGTTTCATGCTCATGCCTGTAGTCCTTTTAAAAAAAAAGCGGGGGGGCTGGGAAGATGGCTCAGTGGTAGAGCACTTGCCTTGCATGCCTGAGGCCCTGGGTTCAATTCCTCAGCACCACATAAGCAAAAAGAAAAAAACTGGAAGTAGCGCTGTGGCTCAAGTGGTAGAGCGCTAGCCTTGAGCTAAAGGCCCAGAATTCAGGCCCCAGGACCAGACCCCCCCCAAAAAAAGGGGAGGGGGGATAGTTTCAGTTTTTTTTTTTGGTCAGTAGAGGGGCTTGAACTCTGGGTCTGGGCGCTGTCTCTCAGCTCTTCAGCTCAAGGGGAGCACTCTACCACTTGAGCCACAGCACTACTTCTGGTTTTCTGGTGGTTAATTGGAGATAAGAGTCTCACAGACTTTTCTTCCCTGGGCTGGCTTTGAACTGTGATCCTCAGATCTCAGCCTCCAGAGTAGGTAGGATTACAGGTGTGAGCCACTGGCTCCTGGTCTAGTTTGAATTTTTTTGAAAAGCAGTTGCTATGATAGACTCATCACATTGTTAAGTCAACAGACTATTTTTGCTTTTAGAATATACAGTAAAATTTGTAAATTCTTTAGAAGTTTGCATTCTATTAATCCTTTTGATGTCTTTATTATGTAGGTGTGCTTTGCAGTAAAAGGGTTGTTTTGTTTCTCAAATAAGTCTGTATTGGACATATGAATATATTTTTTTTTCTGTAAGAGGCTTTCAGAACTGTGGGTATTCCTCAGAGCAAAAAGGGAAAAAACAAAAAGAAAAAAAGAGGAAAAAACCCCAGAGGAATCCCACCTATCCTGACTTTAAGCCCTTTATCTGCATTGTTCCGGCTGGCACCAAGCCATCTTGGTCTTCCTTGTGGTGGGGAAAGGCCTGCGAAAGAGAGCTGGGAGAGCTGGGAAAGAGGTGGGAAAGAGAGAGAGAAAGAGAGCTAGAAAAGAGAGAAAAGAGCTAGAAAAGAGAGTATCTGGGAAAGGTAGGAAAGAGAGCTAGGAAAGAGAAGAGAGCTGGGAAAGAGAAGGAAATAGCTGAGAAAGAGCTAGAAAAGAGCAGAGAGACCTAGGAAAGAGAAGAGAAGGAAAGAGCTGAGAAAGAGCTAGAAAAGAGCAGAGAGAGAGCTAGAAAAGAGAAAGGAGAGTGGACATATGAATATTTTTGTCAGTGAAAGCATTTTTTTTGCCTACTTTTTTTTTAATGAAAATACCGTACAGAGGGGTTACAGTTACATGTGCATAAAGTAATGAGTACATTTCTTATCAAGCATTGTTGCCTCCTCCTTTGTTTCCCCTTCCCATCCCCCCCCCCCCCCCCCCCCCCCCCTCCCCCCCCCCCCCCCCCCCCCCCCACTGAAAGCATTTTGAATTTAGAGTTTTTAAAACCAGCTTCTTAGATCATCATGGTCTTTTCTGTAGATTGACTGACTCCAGAAAAAGAACTCGCACAGGAAGATCTTGGCCTGCTGCAATACCACATTTGCGTAGAAGAAGAGGTCGTCTTCCAAGAAGAGCACTCCAGACGCAGAACTCAGAAATTGTAAAAGATGATGAAGGCAAAGAAGATTATCAATTTGAGGAACTCAACACAGAGATTCTGAATAACTTAGCAGATCAGGAGTTACAACTCAATCATCTGAAAAACTCCATTACTAGTTATTTTGGTGCTGCAGGTAGAATAGCATGTGGCGAAAAATACCGAGTTTTGGCTCGTCGGGTGACACTTGATGGAAAGGTGCAGTATCTTGTGGAGTGGGAAGGAGCAACTGCATCCTGACTGTAGGACTGAACATTATGTTCACTGCACTCTCAGTTTCTGTAGGTACTATTTAGAACCCTAAAGGAGTCTGGTTTTTGCTATCTTTCTTAATAAAACAAAACAAAACCAAAAAAAAAAACATCACGGAGGAGATGATACTAGCCTTAACATGTACTTGTCACTGTTATGGATATTGTCATAAAAAGATATCTTTTAAAAATCAGAACAGAGACTTAATTTTTTAAATCTTCAGATTTGTAGAATGTTGCTAGGATAGGATATTAAATATGATTCCAACACATGCATGGTATTAGATAATTTCTCTAATTCATTGAGTCAGTTTTTGTGATTAGTGGTTATCACAGCAAACAGATCATGTAGATAGCACAAGTACTTGGAGGAACATTGTCTGTTTTGTTACCAGAATGTTGGAAAAATTTATTTCATTACCTTTTAGATTTCATAAAGTGCAGTGTATATAATGCCTACTGAAAGACTGTAAGATAATTGAAATTTTCTTTCAAGCAAAGTGTAAAAAATATATTGAGCCTGTAAATTGCTCTGTGACTAGACTTCATTGTCGTCTTAATATATTCTTTGCATGTACATATATATACACGGCCGTGTATATATATGTGTGTGATTATGTGACCTATGCAATACAAATTATGGGAATTGGCAGCTTTGGAGTATATAATCCCATAATTCTTTTTTCAGGAATAGTTGCAGTATTTACACAGCAGCATTTCTTCTCAGGCTTTCATTGGGTGCTGTTGCTTGCTATGTATGAAGAGAAATGTGTCAAACAAGTCTTAGAAGGTTTGAACACCAGTGTTCTGGGCTTCTAGAATGCTTTCACTGTGAGTCCTTGTGACTCAGCTGTTCAGTACCTGAAACAAATTAAAGTAACATTGACATTATTTCCTACTAGAAGTAACATTTTCAAGTTTTCATGGCACATTATGATTGTAAATGTCTCTCAGTTTGAACAGTAAGTCTATAGGAGTCCCACGGGGATTCCTGAAATGTCTGTAGTAACTGTTAGTCATGTCTGAATAAGTGTAGTGTGAACAAAGTATTTTATTGCACAGGGTTAACAAACAGTGTGTAGCCAGCTGAGGCTGCTGCTGTTTTATTACAACATTACCTCTTGTTTTTATAAAATGTACCAAGATTTAAATTGATAACTTTATTTTACATGTAAAAAGACCAGTTTTCTTTTATCACCAGTGTTAGAATTGTCCTGTTTCTTTTTGTTTTGTTTTGTTTGTTTTCTTTCTTAGCCAAAGAGTAAACAGAAGAATATTCTTATTTTGGTGGCTATTAATTTTACTTTTAAAAGTGATTGGTGGACTTTAGGCTAAGATTTGGGGGGAATTTGCTGCCAAAATGAAAAATATGTAAAGAGTAGTGATGACAGAGTGGTAAAAATGTGGTTTAGTACTTATTTATTCCATTAATTGATTATTTGATTGTCTATAAAGAAAGTTGCTTTATTTCCTTAAACATCTTCAAAAGATGACTTTTTCTTGTCACATTATAGCCAAAAGAAGCAGAGAACGTCGCCGTCCTGCATTTGGTTCCTGGCTGACCAGGTACAGATGAGCTTTACAAAAGTGCTACATGAAAACTGTCACTTCTGTTTACCTCCACCAAAACTTGATTTTCCCCTAGCTATTAATTTAAAGTTGCCTTTCCTGCAGCTGCAATATTTTGAATAACACACAGAGTTTGTGTTGGTTTTTGAATGTTTGTTTATATCTAGGGGTAATGGAAAATGTAAATCCCGTGTAACCCTATTCACTCCATCTGTATCATATTCTTTCATTTTCCCTGAGTCCTTTAATTCTAACTGAACACCAGCAGTATTTTTAGTAGCTCTCTCTTTAAACATACTTGGAAGATGATTTATCAAGCTGAATTGTCTTTAGACGTAATTGTTGTGAATGTTTGTTTATTTTACAATGGTGGCTCACATGGCTCTGATGTTCAGTTTGTATTTTTGGAATTGCTTTACTTAGAATTAAAACAGACCAACATTAAATGTGTGTATTTTTTAAAGAGCTAATGAGTTTTGCTTCTGTATTCAATTGAAAATACACACTGGTACAGCATTTAACTGCTTTTATTTAGCTTCAGAGGTAAGGATTTTCCAATACTATTTCTATTGAGGTGATTTTTTTTAAACATGCTTTTATTTTGCTTTGTTCTCCATGTCATAAGTATTGCATGCTCATTTTTGATGGTCTTAAAAAATAACACCTAGGCAGCTTGTACACTTCGTATTTGTAAGATATTTTGTCTCAATACCTGTGGGCCTAAACATTGGAATTCACATTTCACTTAGCTCTTTTCCTTCCTTTTCCTTTTCCCTTTCCCTGTGCGTGTGCACTTGTATATTTATTCATGTGTGTGCCTTGTTCTTGCTCTGCTTTTTTGCTGGCTATTTGGAGATAAGTGTCTCTTGGCTTAGGTGCTCTTCATCAGCTCTTCAGCTTAAGGCTAGCGCTCTACCATTGGAGGTACAGCGCCACTTCTAGCCTTTCCTGCTTATGTGGTGCTAAGGAATTGAACCCAGGGCCCTATGCATGCAAGACAAGCACTCTACCACTGAGCCTCCTTCCCAGCCCTGTCTCTTGGATTTATTTGCCCCGGATGGTGTGAAACCTCAATCCCTATATTGAACCTTGACCCCTCATATTACAGCCACCTAAGTAGTAAGCATTATGGGCATGAGCCATGGTGCCTGACCTCTACATCATTTTTCCTAAATAGTTGTCAGATTTCAAATAAGGGATTTCCTTTTTTTAAAAATTTCTTTGGTCGGTTGCAGGGCTTGAACTCTGGGCCTAAGCTTTGTCCCTCAGCTCTTCAGCTCAAGGCTAGTGCTCTATCACTTGAGCTACTTCCAGTTTTCTGGTGGTTTATTGGAGATAAGAGTTTCCAGGTGATCCGCAGATCTCAGCCTCCTGAGTAGATAGGATTACAGGTGTAAGCCACAGGCACCTGGCTGGGATTTCCTTTTTTAAATTTTTTTTTACTTTTCTTTTTTTTTTTGTTGGTCATGGGGCTTGAACCTCAGGGCATGGGCTCTGTCCCTCAGCTCTTCAGCTCAAGGCTAGCACTCTACCCCTTGAGCCACAGTGCCACTTCTGGTTTTCTGGTGGTTAATTGAAGATAAATGTCTCTGGACTTTCCTGCCTGGGGTTGGCTTTGGGGTTGGCTTTGAACTGTGATCCTCAGATTTTAGCTTCCTGTGATAGCTAGGATTATAAGCATGAGCTACTGTTACCTGGCCGTTCTTTTCTTCTTTTTTTCTTTTATCTTCTCTTTTATCTTTTCTTCCTTTCCTTTCTTTTCCTTTCCTTTTCTTTTTTCTCCTTTTCTCTTTTCTTCCTTCCCTTTTCCCTTTTCCCTTTTTTCCCTTCCCTTCTCTTTTTTTCTCTTTTAATAAAAAGCTTGGCTCCTAAGCTGTGCACCTAGGTAATCCTTGGTACAAAGGGAGGGTGAGATTTGAGGATTGTGTTTCAGAGACAGCTTGGAAAGCCTGTGAGACTTCATTTCTAACTACCAAAAATCTGGATTGGAGCTATGGCTCAAGTGTAGAACTTTTGTCCCCAAACTCCAGAAAGAAAATATAATATATCTTGATTCTTTGGGGGGAGGAGGGCGGTAATTCTTTTTTCTTTTTTGCCAGTCCTGGGGCTTGAACTCAGGGCCTGGGCATTGGCCCTGAGCTTCTTTTTGCTCAAGGCTAGCACTCTACCACTTGAGCCACAGCACCTCTTCTGGCCTTTTCTGTTTATGTGATATTGAGGAATCCAACCCAAGGCTTCATGCTTGCTGGGCAAGCACTCTACCACTAAGCCATATTCCCATCCTACATCTTGCTTAATTTAATCCCATTTTTAAATTAAAAACAATTACAGTTCTGTAAAAACTTTGCTACTAGATAATGAATATGGATTCTTAGACTGTTAAGTAGATGTCCAGAGCAGACTATGAATCTTTTGAATTCCTTGCATAAATCCTCTTTCTTTCTTTTTTTTTTTTTGTTGTTGGGCTGGGGCTTGAACTCTGGGCCTGGGTGCTTTCCCTGCACTCGTCAGCTCAAGGCCAGTTTTCTACTGCTTGAGCCACAGCACCACTTCTGGTTTTCTAGTGGTTTATTGGAGAAGAGAGTCTCATAGCCTTTCCTGCCAAGGCTGGCTTTGAACTGCCATCCTCAGATCTCAGCCTCTTGAGTAGCTAGGATTACAGAAGTGAGCCTGGCATGTCTTTTTTCTTTTGATTTTTTGTTTGTTTGTTTGTTTGTTTTGTTGGTCTTGGGGCTTGAACTCTGGGCCTGGTTGCTGTCCCTCAGCTCTTCACTCAAGGCAAGCAAGCGCTTACCACTTGAGCCACAGCGCCACTATCCTTTTTCTTTTGAGATGAGTTGTCATTATGTTTGTTGCCCAAACTGTTCTCAAATGATCCTCCTCTACTTCCCTAGTACTGGAATCATAGACATACACCACCTTGCCTCACTGTTGTATAAATTCTAATGTAGGGGTGATGAAGTCAGATCTTCCTAGAGAATGTTGGACTGAAGGACTCAAGTGAGAGTACCAACTGTGAACAAGAAAAGCCAGTGAGAGCATAAGGTCCTGGGTTGCATTGGTTTCAGTGGGTAAGCACATAGGTATGTGCACATGTGGTGAATCTTACTTAGTTCCAACCATGTATACAGAAGATTTCTATTTGTCTGTATTGGAGATAGAACTGGTTATTTCATTAAATTCCACTGGGGCATGATCTGTAGAGCTAGCAGATGTTTGTGATGTGGTTCTAGAGTTCTAGACATAACAGCAAAAGAAGATAAAATGCTCCCACTTGGAAGTAGTAAACTCTGCCCCTCTTTCCTTCCCAGAATAAAAGCTTTTATGGAGAAATTTTCTTAATATATTTGAGTACAGTACTCCCAAACTCCACTTTAGTGGTTGTTTGTTTTTTTGTTATTGTTGATTTGTTTTTGTGGCAGTTAATCAGCCATATTCCTTTATTAGGAAGATAAAAACTTTAGCAATTTTTCTGATCCTTAAGGTTTTCTTGTACAACATTAGGAAGACAAATGTCTGAGTCAAAGTCTTTACGTGGGAGAAATCTTCAACTATTAAATAGGTAAATGAGAGCAAGTATAGTATTTGCAATTTTAAGTTTTAATATCCAGATGTCATACAGTAATGGCTAGATTATATGCTGTCTTTATATTTAAAATTAGAGTAAGAGTACAAATTAACCATTTCTCACTTTTTTTCTCTTTCTACGTGTGTGTGTGTGTTTTGTATATATACAGAGGAGGGAGAGAAGGGGGTAGGTGGGGGGAGGAGGGTTCTAGGGCTTGAACTCAGAGCCTAGGAGCTGTCCCTGACTCTTTTGCTCAAGGCTAGCACTCTACCACCTGAGCTAGACCTCAGCTTTTGACTATTTGGTGATTTAGATGCAAGTGTCTTACGGACTTTCCTGTCAGGACTGGCTTTGAACTGTGATTCTCAGATCTCAGCCTCCTGAGTAGCTAGGATAACAGGCGTGAGCCACCTGTAGGCTTTCCACCTCATTTTCAACAAAATTCCTCTGCTAAATTGGCTTTGAATTTTCTTTTTCTATCAGTTATGAGGCTTGAACTCAGGGCCTGGGACTGTCCCTGGACCTTTTTGTTTTGTTTTGTTTTTTGTTTGGTTGTGGGGCTTGAACTCTGGACATGGGCATTGTATCTGAGCTCTTCAGCTCAAGGCTGGTGCTCTACCACTTTGAGTCACAGTGCCACATTTGGTTTTCTGGTCACTAATTGGAGATAAAGAACCTCATGTACTTTCCTGCCCAGGCTGGCTTTGAATCACATTAGAGAGGAGTATAAAGATGGGATGCTTAGTAACTCAGTTGTCCAGAATGTTCAAAGATGATCTTTATAGATAGTGCAAATATACTTTTGGATTAAAACATCCCTGTTAAGTCATTATTCTGCATTGTTAATTACATTTCTAAAAAGTGTTCAATCTGAGCTGGAAATGTGGCTCAGTGGTAGAGTGCTTGCCTAGCATGCATGAAACCCTGGGTTCAATTCCTGAGCACCACATTAAACAGAAAAAGCTGGAAGTGGTAGAGCGCTAGCCTTGAGCTGAAGAGCTGAGGGACAGCGCCCAGGCCCAGAGTTCAAGCCACCCTACCGACAAGGAAAAAAAAAAAGTGCTCAATCACCTTTTTTCTATTGTCTGACAGTTGTTAGTGGAGATAAATCCTTATCAGGCAAAAATAGATTTATGTCTTTCCTTAGGTATCACAGTGTTGACTTGAGTTCAAAGAACATACAGAAAATCAGTGCTATATAGCAAATGGCTGGCTTTTTTTTTGGGGGGGGGGTGTCCGGTCGTGGGGCCTGAACTCTGGGCCTGGTGCTGTCCCTCAGCTCTTCAGTTCAAGGCTAGCGCTCTACCACTTGAGCCACAGCACCACTTCCGGCTTTTTTCTTTTTGCTTATGTGTTGCTGAGGAATGGAACCCAGGGCCTCAGGCATGTAAGGCAAGCGCTCTACCACTGAGCCACCTTCCCAGCCCCTGGCTGGCTTTTTTTCAAATGACTTGAGTTCTTGATCTAGGAAGGTCTGTACAGGCCTATTGTCTACTATGGGCCTCCTTATGTATGTTACTTGTGTCTTAGTGCTTTTTGTTGTTGTTGTTGGTTGTGGGGCTTGAACTCTGGGCCTGAGCTCTGTCCCTCAGCTCTTTAGCTCAAGGCTAGCGCTCTACCACTTGAGCCACAGTGCCACTTCCGGTTTTCTGGTGGTTTATTGGAGATAGGAGTCTCACAGTCTTTCCTGCCCGGGCTGGCTTTGAACCGTGATCCTCAGATCTCAGCCTCCTCAGTAGCTAGGATTACAGGAGTGAGCCACTGATGCCTGGAGTTGGTGAATAGTTGTTTTAATAATTTTATTGCTTTTAAGTGTTATACATAGGGGCTACCACTTCATAAGTCAGGTAATGAATACATTTTTGGGGACAATGACGTCTCTTCCTTTATTTCCCCC